GGTGGCTGTTTTGGCAATTGTTAACTCTGTATCTTACAGAGTTACATTCTTGCCTTCTTAATGATCTGATTAACAACTTTATACCTAATTAACAACTCTTTATATTTAAGTCCCTCTGCTGAAGTATCTGGTTTGATTTTCCAACAGACACAACTATGAAACAGAAATTTAATAAATAGAACAAGCAGTGTTCCAAATTCAAAAATCTTAACTCAGATTATTAGCAGAAATTATTTTCACTTGCACAATTAAACACTGTACACGGAATTGAGAAAATCTGCATTATGGCTTTTTGAAGAGAAAAAGTTAAAAAATAAATCCAGTCACAATTATTTGAAGATAATTTACACGTTGTTGTTGGATTATCTTTACCTTCACTGTTCATGTATATATTACGCTTTTCAATGTTGTTTTTTACTGACTTCTGAAATTTAGTAGCTAATGTTTCAGCCAACTGTTAAAAAATGTGATTACAACTGCACCTAAGACATTAAGCGAAGATAGGATACTAAGTTCATTTCCTAACTTGGCAAATTTGAAGATGCACAGCATTGGTCATCTGGATCATGTGCTAAAAACAGTGACACCTCTGTTTTCAATTTCAGAACTAGAAAGAAAACAGTGCCTGTTTTTAGCATGGAAAAAAGAATGTGTCAGTTTAGGTAGCTAGGACAGTGAGATTCGTTTATAAATACAAATTTCTTGGCACAGAATTACTTATGATAAACACATCACTTGCTTAGATACCGGGTTTTAGATGAGAAATTAGTGTTATTCCTGTCTATCGTTAGGAGAGTGGAAAAGAAAAAAACAACTCCAATTCTTAGGTGAAACAAATTTCAGGATAAATTTGTGAATATACTGATGTAGCAGTACCAGGAATTGAACCCACAACCATCATACATGATGATGCAAACTTTCCAGGCCCAGGAGTCATCTGAAGTGACTGTTAACAGAATGAAATGATTAGCTTTGGCAGCATCTATTCATAAATGTTTATACTCAAAGCTAATACTAGATATAATATTCTCAGTAAAGAGTGTAAAATAATACATTTTTTTAAAGGTGAAATTTAAAGGCAAGGAAACAAAACAAAACAACAACAAAAAAAGCTCAGGTAAGAGATAAGGACCTTAATGTATAGTGGCACTATGTAGTTCACAGTGTGCTAGCCTATGCTTAGCCAAGCCATGTGTACTGCTGCATCTGCCTAAAGGGGGGCTCCATTCTAATCTGCCAGCTGGGGTGGGGGGTGAGTAGGTATCTTTTTTATTTCACAAAGCACTTATTGATTTACTTGGTCCTGGAGAAGGAAAGGGGTGAAGAAGAACACATTCAAAATCCACTAGGAGAAAGGTCACAAAATTTGGTGGCTATATAAAGGGATTCAACAGTAGAGGATTCCGAGAATTAAATAAATGATTTGGAATATGAGGAAGCAAAAAACAGCCAATCAGAAAAGCAAAAAGCAAAAAGAATCCAAAAATATGAAGATAGTGTAAGGAGCCTCTGGGACAACTTCAAGCATACCAACAATCACATTATGGGGGTGCCAGAAGGAGAAGAGAGAGAGCAAAATACTAAAAACCTATTTGAAGAAATAATGACAGAAAACTTCCCTTACCTGGTGAAAGAAATAGATTTACAAGTCCAGGAAGTGCAGAGAGTACCAAAAAATAGGAACCCAAAGAGGCCCACATCAAGATACATCATAATTAAAATGCCAAGAATTAGAGACAGAGAATCTTAAAAGCAACAAGGGATCACCTCAAGGGATCACCCATGTGACTATCAGCTGATTTCTCAACAGAAACTTTGCAGGCCAGAAGGGAGTGGCAAGAAATACTCAAAGTGATGAATAGCAAGGACTTACAACCAAGATTACTCTACCCAGCAAAGCTATCATTTAGAATTTAAGGTCAGATACAGAGCTTTACAGACAAGAAAAAACGAAAGAAATTCATCACCACCAAAACAGTATTATATAAAATGTTGAAGGGTATTCTTTAAGGAGAGGAAGAAGTGTAAGAATGCAAATGTGCATTACCTATGGACACAGACAATAGGATGGTGAAGGCCTGGGGTTGGGCATGAACCAGGTGGAGGGGGGCAATAGGGGAAAAAAAGGGGGACATCTGTAATACTCTCAACAATAAATATTAAAAAAAAAATGTGGCATAGCCGTGGCCAGGTGGCTCATTTGGTTGGAGCATCATCATGTATGATGGTTGTAGGTTCAATTCCCGGTCAAGGAACGTACCTAACTTTCCTTTTTTTTTTTTAATATATTTTATTGATTTTTTACGGAGAGGAAGGGAGAGCTTTACTTTGGCTTTTCCAATTTATGCCTTTTTCCTCTTGCCTTACTGAACTGGTGAGAACAGACAATCTTGCCTTGCTCCCAATCTTAAGGGAAAGAAGTCAGGTATGATGTTAGACTTTTCATACATGCCATTAATCAGGCTGAAGAAGTTCCCCTCTCCTCCTAGTCCAGCCGTGGGCAAACTACGGCCCGCGGGCCGGATCCGGCCTGTTTGAAATGAATAAAACTAAAAAAAAAAAAAGACCGTACCCTTTTATGTAATGATGTTTACTTTGAATTTATATTAGTTCACACAAACACTCCATCCATGCTTTTGTTCCGGCCCTCCAGTCCAGTTTAAGAACCCATTGTGGCCCTCGAGTCAAAAAGTTTGCCCACCCCTGTGGACCTAGTCTGTTGACTTTTTATGATGAAATTTTTAAAATGATTTTCTGCAGCTGTAGAAATAACATTGTTTTTTTCCTTTATTCTGATTATATGGTGAGTTACATTTATTTATTTTTGAATGTTAACCCAACCTTATACTATTTCTGAGATAAACCGAAACATGTCATATCATCCTTTTTATAAATTACTAGATCCTATTTTTAATATTATGTTAATGAATACTGCATCTACGTTCATGATGGATGTTAATCTGTAGGGTTTTTTTTTTCCTGTAAATGTCATTTGGCTTTGGTATCAGAATAATTAATGCGGCCAAAAAAATAAGTTGGAAAGTGTTCCCTACTTTGTTTTCTGAAAGAGTTTGTGTAAAACTGGTATTACTTCCTTAAATTTTTGATAAATCCTCTAATGGTGTCATCTGGAATTGGAAGTTTTCTTTGAGGGAAGGTTTTAAGTTATGAATTCAACTTTGTTAATATAGGGCTATCAAAACTTATATATTTCTCTTTGAATCCATTTTGATAGTTTGTATTTTTCAAAGAAGGTTTCCATTTCATTTAAGTTGTAGACTTTATTGACAGAAATTTGTTCATATTCTCTTGTTAGCCATTTAAAATCTGTAGAAATTTTAGTGATAGCTATACTTTCAGTAAAGTGATATGTGGTTCTCTTTTTAAAAAAATCAATTTAGCTAGGCTTATAAAATATAACAACACCATTAAACACACTTGTCTGACAAACTGCATGAGCTCACAAACTAAATCTAATACTTCTATCTAAACCTTCACAAGGGTAAAAAGAACAGAAGAGTCATAGTTGATTGGGCATTTAGGAGCAATATCACAAAAACAGCAATAAAGTAAAATACCATATTTACCTTTAAAAAAGTTAGAAATTTAAAAACTTTTTTGTCTATTCCTCCTTATCTATATTCTGCTTTCCAGGAAAAATGAAACAAAATGTAATGCTAGTGGATAACACAGCATGACAAGTAGGTTCAATCAATTTGCTAATGTCAATACTCAATACAAATCTTGATATAATTAATATGAAAGCAAAATGCACATAGATTCTGATATGGGGCCTCCATGTCATTCAGTTCATTCCTGCCTTCCAGGCAATTTCTCAAATGACAAAAATCTCTATTTCATTAAAAAATTTGGAGGATGTTCTGGTGCCTACAAATTATTACATTATTTACAAGTCACTATTTTAACCAAAATACCAAGTTTATGATAAACTGACTGACAACCCCGATATTTTTCAAAAGTATTAATAAAGGAGTATGAGATTCATTTCTGTGCTGCTCTATATTCTGATTCATTAGTAAAGGGGGAAAAATACACAGACATACCTCATTCACCTTTTCATAATTTTTCAAATATACTACTCATCCTTGCTCCCAATCATAAAGTTCCCAGAGTAACTGCTAATTTCTCTTTTTTTAAAAAATTGATTTTAGAGAGAAAGAGAGACAGAGACACAATGATTTGTTGTTCCACTTATTTATGCATTTATTGATTGTTTCCTGCATGTGCCCTGACCAGGGATTGAACCAGCAATCTTGGTTTATTGGGACGAGGTGATAAGGTTCTAACCAACTAAGCTACCTGGTCAGGGCCTAATAAAGATGCACACCTGAGAGGGAAGAAAGGCGTGGATGTGCTCCAGAGAGAGCCCACTGCTAATTTCTCAAATACACATTTTTTATATAATTTGTTCCAATTTAAACCATTATGCAAAAACACAATTTTCATGTCCTAGATCAGCAACATTTCCATGTGAATTAAACAGAGTACAGTTATTTGAGGTCAGCTATAAAACCCAATCCTTAAACATTTGCCTCAAAAAATGTTATACTTTACACATGAAAATTAGGTATCATGAATTTGAAAGCTCTACCATTAAATCCTTGTAACTTTCAAAACAAGGTCTTCCCAAAACAAATGTTCCCAACTTCTGGTAAAGAAGTCTGGGACTACCTGGTACCCAAAACATTAAAAGGGAGACAGGAGTAGAAAGAGATGTACCGGAAAGCGGGCAGGGGAATCTCTCACTGTATTTACTTTCTAGGCTGCTCTCCTGGCTACTCAGTAGAATTGTCTTTTGAGATGCTTTAAAATGATGTGTTCAGGCTCTACATAGCCCAAACCTATCAAACTAGAATCTTTGTGAACAAAGAACCAGATATGTACATTTTTATGAAGTTCCACTAGTAATTAAAATGCATGGCCAGCCAGGTTGAGAACTATGAAACAGGCAGGCTACTATTTAGGTTTTAAAAAAATACCTTGATCTGCTGTCTTCGTAGCATGGCAAGTTCTCTCATGTCTCGGAATGGCTGTAGTAAATACTGATAGAGTTCAGTTGTGGCTTCTGCAAGGCTGCTGTAGGCTTCATCCTCCATCTGATACAAGTTCAGAAGCTCCACCATGCTCTCTGTATTCTTGTGCTTATCCAAGAGCTGTGGAACAATAAAGTTTTACTACAAAGAAATCCGAATATATATATATAAAAGAAAGAAATCTGATTATAACAGCCTATAAATATTTGCTTTTTGCACCCTATCATGAGGACATGGGAACCCTGAAACACAGAAGCAAGAGGGAACAAAAAGCTCCAATTGCTTTTTATCCTTCATATCCATGCCTTAGGTGTATTATTCAAGACGCTGCCTGAATTATCCTTTTCAAACTGTTTTCACCATATTATTCCTGTGCTCTGTATTTTCTAGGACTCCATACTATTTCTTTGTCTAGTTAACGCTTTAAAAAAGTTTTCCATGGTCTAGTACCTTTCTCCATATTTATTTTTTAAAAATTTTATTGCTAATCTACAAGATAGCTATCAACTCTTGCCAATGTTATTTTACTAATTTCCCCAAATCTTCTTGCCACTCCTTTCTTCCTCCCAATTTGGAACTCAATTTAACTTTCTTCATTGCTCATGTATGTATCTATGTATCACTCATTCATTCATTCATTCATTCCTCAATAAATATGGGCTGAGATCTAACATATTAGGCAGTGGGCTAGGAGCTGGGCATACAAAAGCATGGTCCCTTTCCTCATGGAATTCACAGTACTGCTCCATTTAAAAACATTACACAAGAAAGAAAGAAAAAGAGAAAGAAAAAATAAAAACATTACAGCCCAGCCTGCATGGCTCAGTGGTTGAGTGTTGACCTATGACCCAGGAGGTCATGGTTTGATTCCCGGTAAGGGCATATGCCCGGGGTTGCGGGCTCGATCCCATGTGGGGCATGCAGGAGGCAGCCGATTGATAATTCTCTCTCATCATTGATGTTTCTATCTCTCTCTCCCTCCCTGAAATCAATAAAAATATATAAAATAAAAACATTATAAACAATAATACATGTTATGAAGAATATTATGTTTTAAGAGTATAAAAGTAACACAATAAAATGATGGGTCCCATAAAAAAAAAAAAAGGGCAGGAGTTGGTGTTATATAAACTGCGACCTACTTTACAGAGTAGAGAGAAAAGGCTGTCCAAGGAAGTATAAGCTGAAATTTACAGGACCTCTAAAAGAACCATGTGGCAAAAATAAAAAAATATTTTACTTATTTATTCTTAGAGTCCATTTACTTGGTGACAGTGTCATCTGCCTACAGGCACAAAATTCTGCTATTCTTTCTGATGCCTAGTTTCCACTACTACCTTCCTTCTTCAACCTCTTGCGTTAGCTATCACATTTTGTTATACACAATATTATGCTAAATTTATACTTCGGGATTCACTTCCTTCCCAGGTTCTTGACCACAGTGCAGCAGTACTAGGGCACTTAGTATTCTGCCTACTATATCAGTAATAATCATGGCAGATCAGATAATCTACATTATAGTGCTTTTGTAACAAAAGTACCTTATAAATATTAGTCATTCTACTGTTTCAAGGCTATTATAATTCCAACTTTCATGGCTAACATGGAGAACTTCCACTTCTACTATCTCCTGAGTAGTTCCTATTAGTCCTATTAAACCAACTCTCCCTCTGACAATAACTATAAACTTGGGCAAAATATTATAAAACAACTACCTAAAGGCACTATAGAGTGGCCAAAAGTAAGTGAGAACAGAATTTGGTAAAAGAGTGGATTTAGGATACAGGGAATTAAGGATTACTATTAGGTTTCTGGCATTCATTGAGACAAAGAACACAAGAATAGACATAAGTTTTTAGAGGTAAAGATTATAGATTCAGAGACACTCTCCAAATTGCTCTTTAGATATCCAAGAGGAGAGGTCATGTAGGGAATGCAAAATGTCTAAGATCAACTTTATCTTTAAGAGGTCTACAATCTAACTAGAGAAACAAAGAACAGATATAAAAGTAAAATAATGATTGTAAATAACAGTAAAAGTTTAGAGAAAAAAATGGATCAGAGTAAGCTAAAGCAGTTGAAAAAGGTGTTCTAAAGCTAGGATTTGAGTTGGGTCTTAAAGGATAGGAAACACTAGGGAACCCTAGTACACTGCTGGTGGGAATGCAGACTAGTGCGACCATGATGGAAGTTTCCTCAAAAAATTAAAAATGGATCTGCCATTTGACCCAGTGATCCTACTTCTAGGAATATATCCTACGAAACCCAAAGCACAAATCAGAAAGAATGTATGCACCCCTATATTTATAGCAGCACAATTTGCAATAGCTAAGATCTGGATACAGCCCAAGTGCCCATCGGTAGATGAGTGGATAAAAAAGCTGTGGTACATTTATACCATGGAATACTATGCAGCAGTAAAAAAAGAAGACTCTATTACCCTTTGAGACAGCATGGAGGGACCTAGAAAGTATCATGCTAAGTGAAATAAGCCAATCAAAGACAAGTATCACATGATTGCACTCCTATGTGGAATCTAAGTAACAAAATAATGTTACTGATGAATGGAGTGGATCCAGAGACATGGAAGCATGGAACAGAGTGAGGAATCTCAGAGAGAAGGTGGGGTGGGTGGGTGGGTAGGAGGTAATCAACCAAAGACCTTGGATGCATATATGCATAACCCATGGACATAGACAATAGGGTGCTGAAGGCCTGGTGGGGGGTGGGGGTGTAGGGGGACTAGGGGTGGCCTGGAGGGGGTCAATGGGGGGGAAAAGGGGGACATGTGTAATACTTTCAATAATAAAGAATTATTTAAAAATAAATAAATAATCGAGAGCAATAAAACACTTAAAACAGAAAAACAAAGAATAGGAAGTACTAAATATGTGAAGAAGAGCAGCCCAAATTCAAAAAAGCACATGAATAAAGCATGAGAAATCTTGGTGGGAGGAAGGGGAGTGGCAGAAGTAGAGGGTACACACTAGGTAGTCAGGGGATCACACTGAGTCTATAAATGCAGCACAATCTAATAAGCAGTGAAACCATCTATGGAGTAGAAAATAGATGATGCATGTGGTCAATCCACCCCATTTTACCATCAACACCAGCATCATCTGGGAACTTGTTAGAAATATCAAACCTCAGGGCCAACTCCAGACCCACAGAATCAGAATCTGAATTTTAACAAGATCGTTCATAAAGTAGGCTGGTCAAAGTTTGAGGAGCATTCTTTCAGTGCTGCTTTGTGGGTAAATATATTAATATACCCATTTAACTATAATGTGAGGATGTCTCTATAAAGTTATATAAATTATGTGTTCCATATTCAAATACGTGCAGTTATGGTATGTAAATTTTTCTTGAACCTAAAATAATTTTTCCACTTACTTTCTCTCACTATATTTACTGTTATTTTACATTAGATCAATTAGCACTGTTTAACTAAAATTAAGCCAACATTCCCATTTCTCATGGCTTAGTTCTCTATTGAAGCACTTTTACCTATTCTAAGGAAAAAAAGAAAAAGAAAAAAAACCTTTGCTACTAAAACCAATCACAGAATGACCTTCATCTTTAGACGAGAGGTACAAGGCTATTCCCTCTCTTCTTGTCTAATGTCCAGTATCTTATCTCCAGTACATGGGTCATTCAATGAAGTTGGGATGTTTAAAGCCAACAGCCATTACAATCACCAAATTAATTCTCTTCATTCTGATGACATACTTCTTATTGTGTTGGGGTTTCTTTAAATTTTAATTTGGTCTTATACTCCTACAAAGAAACAATAAAATGATCATGAAGATATTCCAGTTCTTTTGAGAAAAATCTGCTTTAAAAAATCTAATTTAGAATAAACTAAAAAATTACAATAGAAATAGATTTCAATAAGCTGTTATCATTTCTATGCAAAAAGCAACAGCCCTTGTACAGTAAATATAAGCAACAACCAGCAAGGATTCCATTTACAACAACAAAAAAGAAAAATACTTAGGACTAAACTTAGATCTATTAAGAGCCATGTAAATAAAATGTTAAAAGAGGCCAAAAGACAATGTAAATAAATGAAAGACTAATAAAAATACCAATTCTTTTTTTTTTTTTTTTTTTTTTTTTTTATTTTATTGATTTTTTACAGAGAGGAAGGGAGAGAGATAGAGAGTTAGAAACATCGATGAGAGAGAAACATCGATCAGCTACCTCCTGCACATCTCCCACTGGGGATGTGCCCGCAACCCAGGTACATGCCCTTCACCGGAATCGAACCTGGGACCTTTCAGTCCGAAGGCCGACGCTCTATCCACTGAGCCAAACCGGTTTCGGCTAAATACCAATTCTTTCTTATTAAATTAATTTATAAATTTCACACAGTAATAACATGGCCTCTTGACATTTTTATGTCATAAGAAAAGTCCAACATTCACATGGAAAAATAAGAGGACAAAATAAAAATAAGGAAAATTCTTTAATAAACTGTATTTGTGAAGAAGGGCAATGGCCTTACCAGGTAATATAAATATCTGCTATAAGCATCAAGCACAATAAAGTAGTAAAGAGTTCAGATATATGAAAATTTACTGCATGATAAGTCTGAATCATTCAAAAAACCATTTTTGTGATAGCTGTCATTTCATCAGGAAAAATAAGCTGGGTCCCTACCTTATTCCTTATACCAAAATAAATTCCACTGGCTCACAATTTAAATGCAAATAACAAAATCATAAAACTAGGAGAAAAAACAAGGGGTGTTTTTGTTGCTTTAAATAATCTCATTATGGGGGACTTTAAAGCATGACCCCAAATCTAGAAACTATTAAAAGAGTAATAAACCTTGCTATAAAATCTTTAAACTGTATAAACAGGCATAAAAAAATAAAATCGAGACAAATGACAAAGGGAAAAATATTTGCAAAACATAGACAATTTCTGTAGTCACACAACACATTAAAAACCAGTAAAGAATGGAATGGGTTCACAGAAATGACTCGAACAAATGAAGACTCACTCATGAGAATTGCAAAATAAATTACAAACTAAAACTTTCCATGGATAAGATAAGAAAGGTTTTGAAAATAGAGTTTTGTGTTGAAAAGGAGATAAAAACAAAGCAATTTAAA